CGCGCAGGTTAAGAAGGGACGGCGGGGAGCGGAGAGGAGCCTTACCCGAGCCCAGCCAGCAATGGCCCAGCCGCGCTGCCGCTCCGTCCTCATCACCGGCTGCAGCCGGGGCATCGGGTTGGGGTTGGTGAGGGGTCTGGCAGCCGCCAACCCCTCCCCGGATTTCGTCTTTGCCACCTGCCGCTACCCCGAGAAGGCGCAGGTAACGCGGGGTGGGGGAAGCCGGGGGTTCCCCGGGGGTTCCCCGGGGCCAGGGGGATGCTGCCAACCCCGGGGGAACCGCAGCGCATCCTCCGCTGGGTGCCGGGACCCCCCCATCATACACCGGAGGGACACGTCCCGGGAGCCGCCCGGCAGTGGTGGCCCCCGGGGGGGGCTTTCGGGGAGGGGAAGGCGGTTTTGGGGGCGCAGAACGGGTCGAGCATCTCCCGGCGAGCGGGAGCCGGTGTCCCGGGACCGGGTGGGAGCTGGGGCTGAGCTCCGGGGTCGGTAGAGCCGGTGAAGTCTCCGGGGCCGGAGGTGAAATGAGAGGGTGATATGAAAATTCGGGTACTTCTCTGTGTTCCCGAGAGGAGGATGAGGAGGAGGAGGAGGGCAGGCTGGACGGCTGCAGCATCTCAAGCTCTCCCGCCAGCCACCTCCTCCAGCCCCTGAGTTTCTCCCTGGCTTTGCAGCTGGAGATAAGTATCTCCTGGTCTTCTCCAGCTCTGCACAGCCCCGGGGCCCCGCAGCGATAGTCCGTCCCCCAGCAGCCTTCCCAGGGAAGCCCGTTACAGCTTCCCTTGTCTCTTTTACCCGGTGTGTCTGTGTCCCCAGAAGGAGCTGTGCCCTCTCTTGTCTCTTCCCTTTTTCCTCCGGACTTGCAACAAGTGAGGAGACCCAAATGAAAGGCGAATTAAACGCTCCTCTTAGTGCCCTTCCTGGCTGGGCAGGCTGCAGCATCTCAAGCTCTCCCGCCAGCCACCTCCTCCAGCCCCTGAGTTTCTCCCTGGCTTTGCAGCTGGAGATAAGTATCTCCTGGTCTTCTCCAGCTCTGCACAGCCCCGGGGCCCCGCAGCGATAGTCCGTCCCCCAGCAGCCTTCCCAGGGAAGCCCGTTACAGCTTCCCTTGTCTCTTTTACCCGGTGTGTCTGTGTCCCCAGAAGGAGCTGTGCCCTCTCTTGTCTCTTCCCTTTTTCCTCCGGACTTGCAACAAGTGAGGAGACCCAAATGAAAGGCGAATTAAACGCTCCTCTTAGTGCCCTTCCTGGCTGGGCAGGGACCTGTTCTTTCTGCTGAAAACGTGGTGGCTTTTGTTACGTGTTGGTGGTGGTTTCACTCGCAGCCCTTTCCCCTTTCAGCCGGCATTCCTGCTGCTACAGCCTAGCAGTAATGGGTCTGGACTCCTTCCCCATCCCTAGACTGTTATAAATGACTGTCAGACAAATTAAATGCACTCCCTGAACTTTTGGGAGGCAAATTGATAATGAGGGTTATCAGTCTGCTCGCTCTGTGGCTGCTAGTGTCCTCTGCTGCATCTCCAGTCTGGTCCTGACCCTCCTCAGTCAGGAGATGCTGCGAGGGCAGCGCAGCAGTTCACACAGCCATCACCCTCCTCCTTTCCTGGGAATCCTCTCGTGCTCCAGAGCTGCCAGAATCTGAGCTCTGTGACTATTTCAAACCCCTGTGTGTTGCCACGGGCATTCGGTAGGAGAACTGACAGCAAAAGCTCTGCTTCTGCATCTCCCCTATTTATTTCAAGCGTGGCACAAAGCTGTCTTAGCGAAAGGCAAATTCCCTGGCAAGTGCAGAGGTAAAGAAAGCTTTTATGCCTGTTCCCTTACGGTGGATACTGCTCAGCTACACAAAAACTTCAAAAAAGATGGTGCTGGGGGCTCCCTTTGAGGATGGTGGCTCAGGGTGAGTAACTCCTGCCCTCGCACCACTCCCTTCCCCAGTAGCACTGTGCTGCTCTGCAGGTGCTTCTCAAACCGAAGGGAAAAGTCTTAATTTTGTTTCTTGCTGTCAAAACAATCTTTCTGGCACAAAGGCACGTTTAGGATATTTCTGCATGGAATGGCTGAGAAATGGGCCAGCGAGACTGGACCCTGGTGCAGAGCCTGCCTTTCAGAGCTGGTTCCTGTGGCTTCTCCCCCCTTCTCTGCCCCCCTTCTGAGCTACACCAGCTCCTGAGCAGGTACTCGCTCCCGCTCTGTTGGCTTTTCACTCCTGTTACAAGATCTGGCGTTGGTCCCAGATGTATTTCCTACCAGTGATTGCACAACGGCGCGGAGCAGCAGCGGGACGGCAAACCAGCGGAGACATATGACCTGCTCTTAGATAGAAATCTCCCCGCTCAGTTGTTTGTTCTTAAAGCTGCTTTGGCCGGGGCTGAGCGAGGTTCTCCTTCTCACCACCTGGCCCTGGTGTTCAGCAGTGATTCCTCGTGGTGATGCTCTCGGATCAATTACATGGAGAAGCCAAACGGTTCCTTCAGTAGGAAGAACTTCCTAGGAAACATGACATGGATGTGCCTTAACACAACTTGGGAGGTTTTTTTGCCTTGCCAGCGCTTAAAAATCTGGAGGAAGAAGGCTGCTAAGCCTGCAGGAGATGAAATAGCCTTCCAGTGTGCCTGGAAGAGCCTGGGTTGCTCCTCGTTAGCAGCAGCAGAAGCCTGGACAGGCTGCTGGCAGCCGTGTCTCACGTAGGCAGGATGCTGGCCAAGACCTGCATTCCAGTAACCCCCAGTGGTGATTCTGCCGGCCACATGGGGGGCATCCTGAGCTTTTATTTGGGGAGGGGAGGGGGGGCAAGGCTTGTCCTTGGTGGCTGAGGGTGGGGTTTTGTTCTTTGTGAGGACCTCTAGGCCATGTGCTGTGCTTTGGCAGCACATCAATAGAAACCTCTGCAGGCAGCTGAAAGCAGATTTCTAACAGATGGGTTTGGAAGCTCCACAGGGAAGGGAAATCTTTGCTGAAGGTATTGTAGTAGTCTCGCTGGTATTATCTGTCCCATCTGCAATGCATAAAGCTGGCACAAACCCCTCTGACCGTCTGAGGAGCGCTTCCACCGAGCCCCTAGTCCTTCTGGCGGGCAGAGGGCAGGCACAGACCTGCTCCAGCCTCTGGCAATGAGTCTGAGCACCGTAGACAACCCACTGTCTCAAAGCTTGGATCCAACTTGGCAACATGGCTTGAGCGTGGTATGGTAAGGAAAGGCAAAGGTTCAGCGAGTTTCTTTACTTCTCTTTGTTTTTTTTTTTCTTTTTTTTTTAATTTCCCAGACAGAAAACTTTGCCTTCGCTGACTTTCCAGTCAAATCTTGAAACCCCAGGGTTCAGGTCCCTGCACTGCAGACTTGTCCTAGAGCACACGAAATGGGCTTTGCCCATGTAAGACCCATTTGTTGGCCACACAGACCGGGCTCTGAAGTTGAGAGACTTGTTCTTTTCTCTGCACACCTGGGCTGTCAGGGCTTGGGTTTTTTTTCTCTTGATGGTGATTCAAGCTGTCTACTTTTGTTTCTTCCCACTTTGCTTTGTGGTAAGTGACTGTATGAAAAATCTTGCTTAATATGAACTGACCCCCCCAATTCCTTTCCTGGATTAGAGGATGATCTTGGAGAACAGCAACTTTGGGCAGTTCTCTCAAATTCTGCTCTCATCTGGCTTGGTAGAGTAGCATTTTCCTGCTGCAGAATGCAGAGGGTGGGGAGAGGGGATGGGAAGAGCTTAAATGAAAAGCCCTTTTAAAAATAATCTTCCACTTTTTGGAGAAAAAGTGATTAAATACGCTTAGCTACTTGGCAAATCCAGCGCCCATCCTGGGGACAATAGTCAGCAGCAATTCCCAGGCAGCAGACAGTTATCCAGAGACTCTCCCAGCAGAGTGTACACTGTCACACAGGCAGCTGCACACTTCAGAGTTCTCCAAACAGTGGACAGACAGCCCCTGAGGACCCGATTTTAGAAGGAGATGCTGAGGAAGAGTGTGACTCTGCTTTCCTCGGCTTACTACAGAAAGCAGCGTGTCTCTTGTAACTTGCTCACCCTGGGATAATGCTGAACAGCTGCAGGCTTTTGCATGTGAGTCTGTGCTGGCAGGAGTTGTAATAACTTGAGTTCCTGTGCTGAAGAGCTCCTAGGTGGCCTCCACAGAACATTTGCCTAACAAATGGGCTTTAGATCACACGATAACTGTGCAGCAGGGCTGCAGGCGCATCGAGATAACCGCTGCCCCTCCTTGAGAAGTACCATACCCAGCTCCCTCAGCCACACTTGGATGCTGAGCTGCCTTTGCTTGGGCTGCTCCAGCGCTGAGAGTGGAAGCAGCTACAAATCTCTTGCAAAATAATCCTGACATCCCATCTTTGCGCTCCAGATGGACAAAACCACAGTACAGTTATTATTAGGCAGCCTGTACGGGCTCATAAACCCATCTGTAATTCTCCCCCCCCAACCCCTCCTGCTTTTCTTTTTTGCTCTTTCTTCCTCTACCCTGCTTCCCTATAAAAGGGAAAAAAAAAAAACCCTGACCCAAAGTCCAAGATGACCTCTAATGATGGTGTAGCCCCCCTCGGACTTGCCGAAGTGTGGAAGGAAGAGGTGGCTTTCTGGGGAAGGGAGGTAGGTGATGGGATGTGGATGGGCAGGGTGTAAATCCTGCTTGTGGTGCTGCCTGGACTCAGCCTGGCGCTGCTGAGAGCCGCCCTACCCTGCTTCCCTTTAAAAGGGGGAAAAAAAAAAAAAACCTTGACCCAAAGTCCAAGATGACCTCTAATGATGGTGTAGCCCCCCTCGGACTTGCCGAAGTGTGGAAGGAAGAGGTGGCTTTGTGGGGAAGGGAGGTAGGTGATGGGATGTGGATGGGCAGGGTGTAAATCCTGCTTGTGGTGCTGCCTGGCACTGCTGAGAGCCATGTGTGGGACCTCAAGACGGGAGCATCTCTTGTTCCCCCTGCTTGCCCCCTAAGCCCAAGCATGTTCCCAGGTGAACAAGAAAACATTCAGTTCTTCACCGCTCAAGAGTCCTCTGCTGGGCCCTGGAAAGCTTCCAGGGCTTAATGTGCTGTTTCCCTTCCTCTGAAGTAGGAGATAGTGTTACTAACAGTGCCGTGTCTGTTCCCTCCTCAGACACACAGCTCTCGCCGAAGTGTTTCTGCACACTGTCTCTGTCAGGTTTTTGGTCCTGTCTTTTTTTTTCTTTACTAGCATATTTTAGCCATGTGCTCTGCTCTCAGGAAGAGCAGCTGGGCAGCCTCTGGAGCGGTGCTCTGGCAAAGACAGCTGTGCTGTATCAGGCAAAGGGGGCATTCTTGAAGTCTTTCTAATTTTGGGTTATTGCACTGTCTGGTTTTGGTTGGTTTTTTCCTTTTTATTTCTATTTTTTTTTTCTGGAAGCATTTTGCACTTCCTACAGCATTAAGGTCTGGCTCCTCCTGACTCAGCGAGGGCCGTGGATTTGGGGCAGCCTGGTTATTACACAGTCGAACAGAAAGTTGGCTGTACGCTGTCATCCTGAATAGCCCATCTCAGAAACACAGGGCAAATATGATACATCTTTGACTTCGTCCCAAGCACAGGAGGGATAATAACGGATACCCGAGTACTCTTTGCCTGACAAAGCCGCCTCCGGGCTGTTAGTTTGCCTTGATTGCTTCCAACTGGCCCAGTACAGCTGGGTTCCTTCCAAGAGTTGTAACCGAAATGAATAATGCTTTCATAAAGGAGGCGAAGTAAATCTTGCTAAATGACAAGGACAACATAACATTCCTGGTTGAAATCTAGCAATAAATATCCTGTGTCCTGATGAGTCTGTATCTGCAGCCTTGAGCGCCAGAGGATCTTGTTTAAATGGGAGTAGGCTGACTCTTTGTTAATCGTAATTAAAATCAGTGAGCAGGAAACAACAGATGCTAATCAGACTTTAAATTTTTCTTGGAATCCCTAGGAGATGATTCCCAGGGGTAACTCTTCAGGTGCAGAGCACTTTGAGGGCTACTATGCTAAACACAGTATTAGGGCGTTGTGCTGTGGTTTTTTGATGGTTTTGTTTGTCTTGTTTGTTTTTAAGTTATATCTATCACAGCGCACAAACTAAAACTGACTTAGCCTGGGATATGTTGGCTGTACCTACTGCCTTTAAATGAAACTGCCTGAACTGACAGTAAAATAAAGCTGTGGTGCCAATGAGCTCCTTTATTTGGGACAGGGAATTGCTGGAGAAGGTACAGCAGAGGGCTATAAAGCTGATGAGGGGCCTGGAGCATCTCTCTGATGAGGAGAGGCTGAGGGACTTGGGTCTTTTTCGTCTGGAGAAGAGAAGGCTGAGGGGGGATCTGATCAACACCTATAAATACTTAAAGGGTGGGTGTCAAGAGGATGGGGCTGGTCTTTTTTCAGTGGTGCCCAGGGACAGGACAAGAGGGAATGGGCACAAACGTGAACATAAGAAGTTCCACCTAAACATAAGGAGGAACTTCTTCACTTTGAGGGTGGCAGAGCCCTGGAAGAGGCTGCCCAGGGAGGTGGTGGAGTCTCCTTCTCTGGAGACATTCAAAACCCACCTGGACATGTTCCTGTGCAACCTGCTCTGGGTGGACCTGCTTTGGCAGGGGGTTGGACTAGATGATCTCCAGAGGTCCCTTCCAACCTCATCATTCTGTGATTCTCTGATATTTGGGTTTGCATTGCCTTATGGGCTGCACCAGCTTCCTTAGGCTCTGCTCGAGATCCTGCCTTCCCAGGGATTTAATTTATTTGTCGGGGCTGCAGTGTCTCTGCACTACTGTGTTGGCATGAAAAGAGTGAGCACAAGTCTGCTGCAAAAAAAACCCTGCAGACAATCTTGGTGGTGTAGGTTTGGTATTTGGGGTTTTTGTTTGTTTGTCTCAGTAGGGTGGTTTTGTTTTGGTTTTAATGGGAGGAGAACAAGGCACTTGACAGATGACCACGGTGAGTTTCAGTAAAGTTTATCCCTTTGGTGGGGAGTCCATAACCAGTCTATTCATGCGTTACAGTGATATTTGCAGAGTTCTCTGGACACAGGAGGCTTTTGATCTCTTTGATCAAAACAACCTGGGCTGGCGAAAGAGAAGAAGCAGGATATGTGGCTGGTGGCTTGAAATGACCACGTCTGATTGTGCTGCCATGAACTCGTCTCAGTCCTCCCCTCCACGTGTTCCTTCTAGTCACAGTAGGGAAAAGAATAGGCTTTTCTCCAATTTTTAGGTTTCCTAATTAGATTTTTCAGCTTGTATTTATATCAGGTGGAGTAACATTCTTGAAGACCAAAGCTGTCTATAAGTTAGCTTTATGCCTGGGAGCTGCTTCTGAGAAACTTAAACCACTGAAGTGGGAGTCGCTTGTTAACTAATTAACTAAATGGAAAAACCATTGAATTTTAAACCCGATTTGCATGCAGCAATTGTAATTCCATGCTGTTTATGTTCTGGAGAATGCTTTAACGCTACCCTGTTTGTAGTTTCTAATTGAACATGTTGCTTACTCAGTTGCTCTCACTACACAAAACATCTCTGGCCTTTCAGCAGAAGTTAGTAGCTTGTTTCTGTCGCAGAGCAAAGCGATCTGACTATAAATAAATGGACAAACCTTAAGAAGCCAGAGCACTTCTGGAGCTCATTATCGAGAAAGTGATATTGTCAAGCTAAGTCCAGCGGACAGTCCAAAGCCACATAATTATTGCAGGCCTTGACATGGCAGAGCTATTTCATGCCTGACTATCAATAAACAAGATAGTGTGTTCTGGGCCTTTCATCTGTTGAAAACAGTCCCATTAAGCCCTATCCAAGGGAAGGAATGTCTTCTGGTTTTGTGATTCTGACTTGTTCCCCTTCCTTCCCCCTCCTCTTAATAGCTTTAGCTGCAGTTGTAGATTGTCCTCAGTGGGAAAACAAATTTTCTAAACAAGCCTGGAGAGAATCCTGCAGGGTATGAACTGAGATAAAAGATGTAATGCATTATAGCTTGACAGAGGACACGGAGTCCCCAAGTGTCTCCAAGTGCCAAAGAAGTACTCTTTCAAAATCAGCCCCCCCCGACCCTTCTTCCCAATGGGCTCTTAAAGAAATGGATTTGCTTGAGCTGGAATGTTTGGCCAGGTTTGCTCACTCTCCTAAACATAGCTGGGAGTATGTAATCCATCTGGTGCATTTGGCCACACTTCCCACTTGGCTACATGGCACAGAAACCTAAATATTCCAGCTGGGCCTATAAATCCAATTTGGACACACTCTGTCCAGCAGCAATACCAGTATAGTACTAATTTTCTCCAGGAACACTAATCATTCTTCTACTGAGAGGTAGTAGACAGATGACTGAATTATAGCTACCTAGCAGAGAGAGGACTGTTCTTGTGGACAGTTGCTGTGTATGTAACCAATTTCATGTGTGCTTTATCTTGGGTTACAAGAATTGAAGCTGATGAGAGTGCTGGGAAATGGAATTTCCATGGGGAAACCTGCTAGGAGACTCTTCCTGCAAACAGTAATTCCAAATGGCTTTTCCTAAGCGTTCCTGCTGCCCTGAACTGATGTCTAGCACTAGCTGAGCTTCAGGAGAATTATGCTTTTCTTACAGAAGTGGGGAATTACTGGTTTGGAATGCAGTCTGAGTGCTGGGTCTGCTGTGGAACTGGCAACAGCACCCTCTTGGTCAAAGACCTTTGGTTACACTGCAAACACACCCGTGAGCTGTACACACTGAGAACTGCCTTTATAATCTATCTTGACTAAGGAGGTGAAGAGTCCAGGTTCTTGGAGCAGTCAATCTTGCTCTCAGGAAAGCTGAGGAAAGCAAAGCAGTATCACTGCCTTCAGTCCAATTATGAAAATAAATGGCAGTTACAGTTCTGAAGGTGCACATGTCAAACTGTTTTATGTAATAGAGAGGGACAGCTATATTTATATAAAAGATAACCCAAATAATTTCTTTTTCCTAGGAACTCCAGCAGCTTAGCAAGCAATACAGCAATATCAAGCTCCTCCAACTGGGTGAGTAAAGTGCTTATGCAGAAGTATGTTGAACTAAGGTGAGTGCATCTAAAGAAACTGGTCTCCTGGGTGGTCAGTAGCTGTGCATGACCTTCAGCAGCTGAAAACCATCACCCTCATCTTAAGATAACACTGGGAAAACATAATCTATGTAAAGTCTTTTGGGCAGTGTTATCTCATGTGTCGTACAGTGAGAGATGGCATTTGAACCACATGTTTCACTGTTTGCTGTGGCTGTTGTTGGCTCCCTCTGTGCAGATGTGGTCTGTGAAAACAGCATCAAGAAAGTAGTCAAGGAAGTGGAGGAAATTGTGGGAGACAAAGGTCTGAACTGCCTCATTAACAACGCTGGCATCAACGTTCTTGCTTCCTTGGAAGAAGTCACAGCAGAGACAATGCTCACCATTTATGAAACCAACACAGTTGCCCAGCTGATGGTCACCAAGGTAAGAATTGGTAGGAATGTGCTTCATCTATGATACTATAAGAGGCTTTTCCAGTTGGACATGTAACCAAAGCATTTGTCACCTTGGAACTGCACAGATACAGGTCTGATACCAAACTCTGTGCCTAGAGAGCAGCAAGAGATCCTTTTTTCAAGGATCTTTCTCTTTATTTAAATTCATCTGGTATGAGGTCACTTCAGTGGACAGGTTGGGTTAGGAGGTGGGCAGAAGAGACTGAAGGTCCTTGCTACTCTACAGCTGGCTATTATAGAAGGGTTTCCTATGGTCAGCTTGGCTGGGGAGCCATCACCGTTCTGTGCTGGTGCCACAGAGTTGTACTGCAATTCAGAGGGCACAGCCTGAGAGTCCAGCTTGCCTCGAATGGGCCAAGGGTAAGCCAATGAAATGACAACAAACTCTTATTTTCACAGGCGTTTCTACCCCTTCTGAGGAAGGCAGCCCAGCTGAGCACAGGAATGGGCTGCCACAGAGCTGCTATTATCAATATGTCCTCTCTTGCTGCCTCCATGCAACTCGTCCAGGCAAATGAGATGTTCCTCAAGGTCTACCCCTACAGGATAGCAAAGGTTTGTAGGCTTCCCTGGGCTGTGTTCAGTGGGTTAGGGCAGGCCTGTGACTTAAAGACCAGTCTAAGCTTAAGATGATGATCTGAGGTGTGCAGCACTTCCGTGGATTGGCTGGAACTGGAACTGTTCTTGTCTTCATGTGGGTGGAAATGGGACCTGTGAAAACTGTACATCTGGAGCAAGCATGCCGACTTCTTAAGAACAGGCTCACAAGTTTGCCATCACTACTCTGGTATAGATCCATTCCAGAGGGACCTGGCATTCAGGGAAGAACTTGTGCCATCAAATGTGTGTCCGATGAGTTGTGTTCCTCTCCAATCTCAGCAAGATAGCAGGCATGAAACCCAACAAAAGGTGTGCTGACCTGTACGTGGCAACGCTAGTTACTGAGAGGTGGAGTTTTTAGTTTTGTCACATCCAGTGAGTTTGGACAAATAGTCAAGATTAGACATACAGTTTCTCCTACACCACCTACTCATAAGCTGTTAATATGCTTGTTTTCCCTGTTCAGAAGTAAAAAACCTGAATGTTTGTGTAGTGATTATTGCAGAAAAACAGAGTCCTTATGTCAATATTATTTTTCCCCACAGCTCCTTAAGAGTTTCAAATGCTACTTTATCTTCCATCATAACTTAGTTTCATCTTTGGGCACTAGGCTGATAGCGATAGATCTTTCACAATGCTTCATTTAACAGATAGCTCTGAGAATGAAGCCCCCGCTACGTCTGGATAAGTTGCTGTGGTGCTCTTCTTGCCCTTTCATTTGTCATCAGACAGCATGGCGGAAGGAATTAGCTTGGCTAATTGGAAGTCAATTAGTTTGGCTTGAAGTTTTGCTCAAGGTTTGTAAAACTCATAGATGGTTTCCACTCTTGCAGACTGCACTGAACATGATCACCAGGTGTCTTGCTGCAGACTTGAAATCGGATGGAATTCTCTGCATTTCTTTGCACCCAGGCTGGCTTCAGACAGACATGGGAGGAAACATGGTAAGTGACAACTCTCTGAAAATGTGAAAGTATGACTCGCTTGTTGTCACAACTGTTCAAGGAGGGGTGGATGCCCGAGCATTCATATGCCACTCAAGGAGTCCCCAGCAGCCCCACACACCTGGAGGTCTTCTACCACCTCCTTGGATTCTCTCTGTGTCCAGGCTGGCTGTTGACTGCTCTTATCTTGTTGATTTGTGGTCTCTGCTGAGGGTTGTCGCCTCCTTATCTTCTGGTTTATGCTTCTTGTGCACCTGCACTCACTGGCAGAATGTGGGGAACTGTAAAGTCCCAGACTTAGGGAAAATACTACCAAAACACCAGTGTGCTATCGACATTTTCCTCATACTAAAAGACTAAACACAGCACTGTACTGGCTGCTAGGAAAGTCACTAAGATAATTAACTCTATTGTGGCCTAAAGGCTTCAGCAAATCTCTGAATCTCAAAATCTCTCATGCCAAGTAAAGCTGGGCAAACAGCATAAATCACACCATATGATAACCCTAAGTAACTTATTCTAATTAAAGCTTACTTATTTAAGCTAAACAACTAATATCTCTCAACACCAACTCTTGAGAAAAAAGCTACTGTACAGTACACACTTGTATGTGCTGCAGAGGCACACTATGAAACGTGAAGATACATCCCACTTGATTCTAGTAACTCCTTAAGTGTGTATTTGTTCCTGTTCTGTAGAATATTCCCAGTAATAATCTAAACTTGATTTGCTCTAGGCTCCCATGCAGGTCCAAGAGGCTATCCCAGGAATTCTCTCCGTTCTGGATCGCCTTGGTGAAAAAGAAAATGGTTCCTTCCTGGACTGGCAAGGGGAAACTCTACCGTGGTAGAAACGCAGAGTTTGCTACAGAAACAGCATGTCACTTGCTATTTAACTTGTGCCACTAATGTCTGTGTCTCTAGGGTTTTCTTATACGCTAGTTGAAATAGCCAGCCTCTCTCTAGGTGTATTTGGAAAGTGAGGTGGCTGACTCTTCTACTTGGTATTGCTACTGCTCTGTTCTAATGCTTCCTGCAGATACTACTGTGCCCTTAGTGATGGGGATCTCCTAGAACCATCTAAAAATAGATTAAAAACTGCAAGTTAAATCCAGGGGCTGGTTCCTCTTCGCTTCCAAAACCAAATGGGTCTCTCGCTCTCTGCAGAAGTAAATTATGTGACCTCAGAGTAAGGCCAGTGTAGGCCACCAGATTCCAGTATATTCACTCTGCTGGAGACATGTCTCTGGAAAAGGCTTCCTTCAGTCCAAACTGAGCCAAGGCTGAAATTGCCCAGCTCTAAACTACAAGAATTTGGTACTTCTGCAGGTTCCTTGGCAAGCTCTGAGCGTCCCCAGGTTGACAGCGCACACCAGGCACTTGCTTTGTTCCCAGTGGGTGACTAACATCCTAATATGGGGGTGGGAATGTTGTTTTGTACATACACTTCTGAAGTGTCTTCAATAAAGTCTTGTTTAAACAAATAGTCTGTTTACTAAACTACTTCAGTTGATTTATCTGTATGTAGATTTCTCTTTGTAGGTCTCTCTTCCCTGACCAGGGAACTGTACTTCTACCTGGCAGGAAGAAACTCAAACCATTGCTGTCTCCTTGGGGCTGGATGGGTTTAACGTGGTGGGGTGTACCTATAACTGAGGCAGACCCTTGGTCTGGTCTGAAATACTAAAAGCAGCTGGTGAAAAGATCTCTGTGTTCTGGCTGAGGGAGGGATAAAAGCAGAAAGTTCTTTGAAGTCTGGGTTTGGCTTCAACGTGGCTCCCTCATGCCAGCTGATTAGGCACTTTCATGCTGTGCCAAGGCGGTGGGTTCCTGTACTTGGGTAAGAAAAGACAAACAAGAGCCAGGTGAGTGGGAGAGATAGGTGGTGCCTGGGCAGCACCCACGGCGGGCCCTGCCCTCGGATGGAGCTGAGGTGGGTAAGGAGAGGTGTCTGGCCACCTTCTGCCATCCCCACGCTCATGGGGACATGAAGTCTCACCCTGCCAACCAGTTGCCGTGCCACGCTTCTGTGCTCAGAGCTGGTTTTAGTGAGGTGCTGCTGTGACCGAGCAGGTGAAGGGGATTTGGTGCTTCCCTGTCAGCTGGGAGCCATCGACTCCCCATCTCAAGAGTGTGGCCGCTGCATCAGCCCAAACCTGACAGGAAAAGGGCAAGCTCAGCTTGAATCAGTTGAACTATTTGTTTTGCATTGAATGTCAGGTGCTGGGGAAAAGAGTGGATGTGCCTTCTCCAGCCTGCTGTGAGGAGAGCCAATGGAAACAGACCCTGCTCCATGATTTGGACAGAAATAGGTGCTGGGAAGATGGCCTATTGGCAAAAGCTTTGAGAGTGCTTCCTCCCCTGGATTCTCCAACATAACAGGAGGTCATAGAATGGTTTGAATGGGAAGGGACCCTAAAGATGATCCCGTTCTAACCGCTGCCCTGGGCAGGGACACCTCCCACCAGCCCAGGTTGCTCTAAGCCCCCTTCAACCTGGCCTTGAACCCCTCCAGGCATGGGGCAGCCACAGCTTCTCTGTGCAACCTGAACCTCCGCCGACGGCCTCCCCTGAAGAGGGGCCGTGCTGTTTGGCTGTTGCCTTCCCTTTCCCTGCCGAATGGCGGCCATGGGACACGTTACCCCCCCGGCCGCCGCCTCAACCTGCCCTCGTTTCCGGGCGGGCGCCACTAGGGGGCGCTGCCCTGCCCGGCCGAGACGCCGGAAGTTGCGTAGGGGCGGCGGGCGGGGATGGTGAGTGATGGCGGCCGCGGGCTGAGGGAAGGGAGCGGGGCTGAGGGGCCGGTAGCCCCGAGCGAGCCGTACCTCGGGAGCGGGGCGGCGGCGGGGTTTGCTGGCCGGGGTGCGGAGAGGGAGGCTTCCCGCAGAGCGCGGGGCTGCGGGCCGGGCCGTCCCGCCTCTGTAGCAGCGGTTGGTTAGGCCGCGCGGCTGTGCCTCAAGGCCTGAGGGTAACGAGCGCCTTTTTTTGGGATTTCTGCTGTGGAAGCAGCGCCTTCGCGCTGAGCTGGGCCGAGGTGTGCAGCGGGGCGCGGGCTGGAATTACCTTATTTTTAAACCTGGGACAGCCAGAGCTTTATGAATCACCCCGGCAGCTGAGCTACAGCAGTGCCTGTGGGCCAGGCCCCTGCAGCAAAGCCTGTTGGTAAAACGGGGAGGGTGCTTAGAGTGTCTCAGCCCGTCTTTTGGGGGGTTTTGGGTTAAAACTAGAGGTTTTTTTTTAAATAAAAAAAAAAACAACCATGCTTTCCTCATTGAATAAATGTTCTTATTTTAACAGTCATTCCTGGCTCTGACATGGGGGTTTTGGGTTAAAATTAGAGGGTTTTTTTAAAAAAAAAAAACACTGTGCTTGCCTCATTAAATAAATGTTCTTATTTTAACAGTCATTCCTGGCTCTGACAGTGAACGAAGTGAAACAATATGTTAATATCACAGGTGACTTCCCAGTTACTGAAGGCTTCACGCATTGCAGGTAAACAGGTGTCATGTGACCTAGTTTTCTGTTGGTTTTCTCTCCTGGGGTAATTAATTAGGCTGCAGACACTACTTTACCAGCACGCAGTGCCAGGGTGGTGAGGCTGTTGTTGATTCAGTGGTCGTGGAATGTTATTGTGTCTCTGCCCTATTCTGGCAGTGTTGTGTAGCTCTGGTTTGACCTCTTTTAAGCTGAGGAAGAGGTTCCTTAGCAGCAGAAAGGCTTCGTACAGCGAAGAGTTCCCTGCCATTCTAAATTGCACTTGCGCAGTTGACAAAGTGAAATATTGTGTAATGTCATTTTAGCAGATGGTGTTATGGCCACATAATTAAACTCAAATTAATAAAATGTTTCCTTGCTTTTGTGATGGGAATATAATTGTTGTAAGCAGCTTCCTTTATTAGATTATTCTGGCCATAGTTGTCTGGTGGTTTGAGTGTTTCTGTTTGAAAATTCTGCCTCTGAAGTGAAATTCTTTTCTTCTCAAAGGCCGCCTTTTGCCCAGATCAGTGTCTTCCTTTCTTTGCTGTCACTCTACGTCTGCACGCTATAGCTCTCAGCCGTCTAACAAGAGTGGAGCCCAGCCTCACCAGTGGTATGCCCTGGACCCTGAACTGGAAGAGATGCTGGTCCCCAGAAAACTTTCCATCAGCCCCTTAGAAAGCTGGCTGACGGTTAGGTACTCCCTTCCTAAAGCAGAAGTCCTTAATCCTCAGGAAGAAGTGGGCTATGAACCTCTCCAGCAATATGACTGTCCCCCGACCGATGAGGGAGCTGCTGTGCAGGAAGGAGAGGGAGCACTTAGCAACACGCTTCAGTGCAAGAACGTTTTGAAGATTCGCAGAAGGAAAATGAATCGGCACAAATTCAAAAAGCTGCTGAAGAGAAGAAAGTTTATACGGAGGAGGATAAAGGAAGGTCGCAAGAAGAAGCGTCAGGTAAGCTCAGGGTAACGTGACATAAGTGTGGCTGCTTCTCAAACTGGCCTCTGTTCAACTACCAGATGATGAGGTGAATTGATTTGGGGAAAAATGCAAGGAGCCTGGAGAGCCTTAGTGAGTTCAGTACTTACTGGTACAATAGCTTTTTCTGTTTTGTGTTTGACCTGTGCATCTTCAGAAGTTGCAATTTAGAATATTTCTGTGTTCGTAAACATGTGTGTGATGGTTACAAGTTACAATTCTTCTTGTGTGGTGATAACTTATAAATACATTTGGCTAATGGAGAAGAGTTTTACTGTTTGTGTGAAAGATCAATTCATGTGTCTGCATTATATCAGGGAGACTGGTTTAATCTTAATTTCTTTCCTGTCTTGCCAATATCCTCAAGTGCTTCCTGTTGGCTTTTTCTATGTAGAGCCGTGAGGGAAGACACGGGCCTACATTCAAACTGTAGGTGTTCTCACTCAACACTGCCTTTCAGTAGTCAGTTAGGTTTGCTCTGATACAGTTTAGTTCATTCTCTGGTAATTTTCACCTTGCCTAGGTGCAAATTAGAGTTAACTAATTCCATTTCTTCAGATTTGTAGGAAGCAGTGTTGGACGCTATGATGTGGAAATCCTCTTAATTTTCTTACAATTTTGTTTTCAGTCTTCTCAGTTTTCCTCGCACAGGATTTGTAAATATATTGCTGCCAAAATCCTTGTGGATTTTAATGTATTTTGTGCAGTAAGGTGAACTATTTTGACACTTAGAAGAAGCTGCCTACTTACAAAGCATTTGTTTCCTTTGTGTGCATTATGCCTAGATTCTGCTTGGGACACATGGGCAGTGGCTCAATACTTGTCTGTTGCTTCTGAGCTATATTACCATTTTTTCATTCTTTTTGTTTTTCTGTTTTAGATGAAATTTGAGAAAGATTTGGAGCGCATCTGGAAAAGAGCTGGTTTGAAAAATCCTCCTGCAGGATGGCAAACACCCAAGATATTTCTGAAAAGTTCAAAGCGATAAAAACACTTGTAATGAGTTTTAAACCTGTAATTGTAATTAAAAAAAATATTTAAGTATGTGGATTACTCTTACCCTCTTTCTGAATGTGATGAAATTAGTAGGAGGAAACTTTGAATCGTGGTGAGCAGTTTTCCAAGGGCAAACCTGACAGTACTATAAAAACAGTCGGTTGTGAGAGATGGGATAAGTGAAAGAATTCTTCTGATTGTAAGTAAAACTGTGTAAGACAAGCATTTTGAAAAATTCTTTTTGAATTTCTGCTCTTTTATATCCTTACTCAGCTCTTCTTGTCACTAGATGGCAGCAAATTGAAAGCCTCTGAAACTCCTTAGCCATTAACATAGAAGCTGGCTGGATCTTTATGTTGGTATTTTAAAGAAAGGGTACACCCACATTTAAAAATTGGTTAATCTTGCTAGAGAACTGTTGCCATTCTGCGACCTGTATTGAAGTCCTGTAGAAACATGTGGTTAGCACATTCTTATAGTTCTTTTATTTTTCCAAATCATGTGTTAACTGTAGGTAACTTTAATCAAACAAGTTAAAAAGATGCTCCATCCTTTTTGTGCTTTAAATAGCTGCAGTTGCTTTTAACCAGGACCAGTAGGACACTTTGATTCAGCCTATTGTCAGGATTTCAGTGAAGAGGAGGGTGTCTAGCCATCAGCCTTAGAATCTCACCAAGCAAGAGGAGATCGAGTGTAGAATCTGGCTTGCAGGTTTGTTAAATATGTAGATTGCATCGAGGCATTTCTAAAATATCAATACACATTCCCTGCACAGAGATGAAAGGCTGGGGCCTGAGAGGATTAGCACCTTTGAAGTCAGGTCCATGTCTCTTTTTTCTCCAGTCACACTTGTTTCAAGAGCCTTTATGCCAGCATTAGTGTTGTCTGTCAGACCTATGGCTTTTTTTTTTTTGGCTCTTAGTCCAAGTTTGCTGTTTTTCTGTCTAAGGAAAATTGGTACTCAGTTTGTGTATTTCCAGGAGATTGCTGGCTGCTGAAGAATTGGGATGCTTTTGGAATTACGCAGAGCAGAAGACTTTATAAAAAGAGAGCAGTAGCATGGGCTGCTCATTTATCAGTGCTGTACCTCTGATTCCAGTTTTGAGGCTTATTCTTTCTTTATTTTTTATTTTTTTTTTTTGTCTACCTTAATCCTGCGAGGATATATTGAGCTGTAGCCCTATATCTTTATTTTCTATTGTAGTCTTCAAATCTACAAACTGGCCAAGGGTATATGTTTCTCCACTAATGTTTAAGATGGACTTATCTCTCTACTTTGATATAAAACCTCTTTCTCTTGGGGAAGGAAAATTGGTACTCAGTTTGTGTATTTCCAGGAGATAGCTGGCTGCTGAAGAATTGGGATGCTTTTGGAATTACACAGAGCAGAAGACTTCATAGAAGAGAGCAGTAGCATGGGCTGCTCATTTATCAGTGTTGTACTTCTGATTCCAGTTTTGTGGTTTATTCTTTCTTGATTTTTTTTTTTTTTTGTCTACCTTAATCCTGCAAGGATTTATTGAGCTGTAGCCCTATATCTTTATTTTCTATTTTAGTCTTCAAATCTACAAACTGACCAAGAGTATATGGTTTTCTCCACTAACGTTTAAGTTGGACTTATCTCTCTACTTTGATATAAAACCTCTTTCTCTTGGGGAGCATCATGACTGGGCTGTAGATCACAAACTTCTCCATTGTACTCGTGTCTGATGGGATCATGCAGGCAGAGAACTCTGTATGCCATTTTCCTGGGTGAGCACCACCGCCTTGCTTTCTAATTTGTTTTTACACTGGGATAGTAATTAGAAAAGATAATTACTGAAATAGTGAGAATTGCAAAGCAGAAAAATCCAGTACCTTGTGGTGTTTCAGTGCAAGTGAACTCTTGCAGTGTGGCAATGATCCCTAATATAGGGTGCTTGTGGGGTGAATTGCAAGTCTCCATTAAGTAGTTTATTAAATGGTGTACTCACTGATTAGTAAGTCCAGTCCTCCAAATCGTTGTCTGCCAAGGGCAGTCATTACTTTTACATCTATTAGACATAATTACACAACTATGTATAGAAGTCTGGAACTAGTGTGTAATTTACAAAGGTGTCTGTAAACCATCCATGGCAGTTAGTGTCTGATGGGATCATGCAGGCAGAGAACTCTGTATGCCATTTTCCTGGGTGAGCACCACCGCCTTGCTTTCTAATTTGTTTTTACACTGGGATAGTAATTAGAAAAGATAATTACTGAAATAGTGAGAATTGCAAAGCAGAAAAATCCAGTACCTTGTGGTGTTTCAGTGCAAGTGAACTCTTGTAGTGTGGCAATGATCCCTAATATAGGGTGCTTGTGGGGTGAATTGCAAGTCTCCACGAAGTAGTTTATTAAATGGCATACTCACTGAGTAGCAAGTCCAGTCCTCCAAATCGTTGTCTGCCAAGGGCACTCATTACTTTTACATCTATTAGACATAATTACACAGCTATGTATAGAAGTCTGGAACTAGTGTGTAATTTACAAAGGTGTCTGTAAACCATCCATGGTAGTAACTGCCACTCTTAGTCATATAAATGCTATTTTCCTATTTGCTGAAGGACCTCAAAGCACATCTTGGGATGTGTGTTTTCTTTGTGGCAGATACTGCAAAGATTGTCCATCTTACGTGGCACTAATCAGGTATTATACACCAGGGCTGTTAGTGACTTGCTTTACTTCTGTTGACCACAGGATGCAATTTTAAACTCTCTCACTTTGCTAAACTGGGAGAATCATACAGACAGGAGCTGCACCTATTTTTCTGCAGGGGGAGCACGAGTACATAATATACTGTGCACAAAGCTTTATAGTGGGTTGCTGTTCCTCTGCAAAATGTGTGTGTACCAATGTACCTGCACACTTAGGAAAAAAGTATATAGGTATACGTAGCTGTGGTAGCAGAAAAAATAAAGGGCTGCAGACAGGAAAGGTTTGACTTTTGTAATTCTCAAAATATCTAAAGACATGAAGATTTCTTCTTCATCTCCTTATTATTCTGCTGCTCTGAGAGGAAATGGTTGGAAGTCAGCAGGAGGTTGCTAGAGGAATTTGTGCTCTATATTTCATAGCCAGTGGGGGTGGTGATTTTGTTAGCAATGACAAGAGATTTTTAGAAATAATGCTGAAGCAGGAGATCTGTGATACTGCTGGGGAGTAGAAAGATTATTTCAATTACCTTTTCATAAAGATAGCAGCCACACTGAGATGCCAATCCTATTTCAGTGCAACTGAGGAACCCAAGGAAGTTGGTCCCTTTCGGTAACAAGGATAGAACCCCAAATGGGTGGAAAGTAGAAACATTTGAAATGTGTGTGAATTGCAGCAGCTTCACAATTGGGCTTAACCTCTTCATGCACAAATAGCAGTTAACCACAGCATAGATGGTCTGGAGTGTGCAGAAGGGATTTTAGCTCTATATGGCAGCTGTTTGCTCCAGTTCTCCCCAAGAACAGGCTTCTCAGTAATTGTCTGCTGTGGTTTTGGCTCACTTGAGATGAATTCTATTCAACTTTGAGTTTGTCATAGGAAAAGGGAAAGTCCAGCAGTCAAGACAAGATGCTCCTTTCCTTTGGAAATCTGGTGCTTACCCTACAAAGCACGTTAGATAGTCTGCTAGCTGTTAAAGCGGCCCCGAGGTCATGCAGACAATGAGTCTGAGCTTGTGGATGCCTTCTCCATGCTGTCCTTGGCAGAGACAGAAGAACAGTGTCCTGGCTCTCCAGGAAGGAGTCATGCGGAGAGGAAATGGAGTGGAATGTAATGATGGCTCCTCCAGTTCCCGCTCATGAGACCAGACCTGAAGCTGATTCAAACCAGGAGTTGCAGAGATTTGTTTGGAGACGTGCAAAGGGTTGGGGCATCCTTAAATCCTAAAGCACGAGGAGCCTGGAAAAAAAAAAAAATATGCTGGTATTACCCAGACAGATTTTGTTAGGCTGATGGACTGTCACCTTGAAAGAGTCCAGAATGAAGGAGTCTGTGTTCACAGTGTTTTCAACTATGATTTTGTGGGAGCAGGGACGTGTGGCTGAAGTGCTGAGGACAGGCTGTGGGGTGCTCAGTAAACCTGGCTGCACACAACTGTAGCAGCAAATGTAAAGAGAGAGATTCTTCATGTTACTGCTATATTGGCTACTGATAGGTAGTGTGCCTAAGAACCTGGGGGTTTTGGAGTTTGGGTTTGTTTTTTGTTTTGTTTTGTTTTGTTTTTTTATGGTGGTGTGGGTTTTTTTTGGTTGTTTGGATTTTGGGTTTTTTTACGTCAAGGCAGGGGTGATGCCTTCTCCTTTGCTGCAAGAGGGTTTCTCTGCATACCATAATCCTGGCACCTGAAGCCCAAGTTCTTTTCATGTCTGTATTGTGGGAACTGTTATTTTTTCTTCCATTAGTAAACTTAAGACCAGTCTTAGGAGTACATGTTAGCTCCTCTCAGGGAATGTTTATGAGCATCTGGTGTCCAAAACACACCTTTCAGGGGGTTGACAGGACCTTGATCTTTCGGTTACCTGACTACCATTGCCCAGTAATTCCTGAGCAGAAACAATGTGTACCTTTACTCTGGTGAGCTAATACCCATATTAAATGGGACTCTTTCATATTAAAAACTATCAAAATGTTACCTAGGATAAGTTGGTGTATGTACATTGGCTTCAGTAGCTTTGACTTAGTCCTTCTCAAAATATGAAGCCAGCTCTACTTCAGTAGATGTGAACCCTCATCCATGTATTCCAAAGTTAATAAACCACGCTGGTTTATGCTAGCAGAAAATCTAGCTCAAGTGATCTTACTGATCTTGCAAACAGCACCTGTGGATAACTTAAAATTACATCTTTTCTTTTCACCATTCATGCTGTTTTGCTATTGGCATTTCTGTTCTGACTGTGGAAACATCCTGGTTTGGGTTTGCTTGGGCCAGTTACTCTCCAAAAATAACAGCACTCTGTGCTTAACCTGGAGCGTTGCATTTTTGCAGAACTGAAATGGTTTTGAAAAGTGGCGTTTGCTTTTCCTACTGATTTTTAAA